GGACTTTTTAACTTTTAGAGAGAGGTCTTACTGGTTTTTTAGCCAATTACTTTGTAAATGCTTTGAATCAAATGGGGGAAGAGTAGTGACATCAGCTACCCAGAGAGGGCACTATTACCTAAAAAATGGAAGCTGCTCGCTTCTAAGGTTTAAAAGGAAGACAGATCTGTAGAGGCCAGCAAAGTAGTCATGAGTTTTTGATACCCACCCCCCCATTCTTGTTTCATGACTCCCGTGTCTCTCTTCCCCACTCCATTTTGGCAGTAGTCTTTCTCCCACATTCCCCCAAAGCCTTCTCAGCTGTAGGAGGGATTCTCAAAATGTAGTCGTTCCCAGTTTTCAACACTACTACTGTTCTTGTTCTCTCCCATTTTTTTTTTCCTGACATATCTGACATTTTGAAACCTCTGTCTGCTAAATTGCATTTAGTAATAGACTCATGATCATTCTAATCTATAAATAAGATACAAATGCAGCTTAGAAATGTCACACCAGCATGTGATGGTGTTCTATTATGGAGCTGGTGTAATTTCAGCCACTGCCAAAGAAACTTGATGTTTTAATTAGTAAGGAGTTAAGCAAAGGAAATATACAATTTCTATTAGAATCTTTGAAATATTGAAAATAGCTTGCAGAACCCAGCTACTCTCTGAGGATTCCTAGGGGTCTGAGATCCCAGATGAGAGAGCATGATCTTGTATGAAATGTCTAAATTAACCCCATGATTTGCATATTTTATTCCTATAGCATCAGGCATATTTCCTATTAGCCAAGACATAATAACTCCCCAGGCAAATCCAGATTTGGATTGGGATGAAATTTCTTATAATCTTAATTTAGGGGCATCTGCGTGGCTCAGCCGGTTAAGTGTCTGACTCTTGATTTAACGGCTTAGGTCATTAGGTCTCAGTTCATAGGATTGAGCCCCATGTCGGGCTCTTTGCTGACAGCATCATAGAGCCTACTTGAGATTCTCTCTCTCCTCTCTGCCTCTCCCTCCCTCTCTCTCAAAATAAACATTTTTTTAAAAAAGAATAAAAAATACTTTATTACAAAAAAAAATCTTAAAGGATTGAATCTCTAAATGGAATTCAGGACAACCTAGCAAAAACAGGAGACCTATATAGAAGGCCATGTATTCAGACCAGTTTTGTGAATATATAAATATGTAAAAATATGCATACGTATATTTATAACAATATCAGGTGCCTCCTGCATTGGGCACTTTGAATAGATGAGCCTTAGATCTTACAACAGTTCTGAAAGGTAGATATCTTACAGATGAGAAAACTGAATCAGAGAAGTTTGGAATCTCTCTCCATCACACAGCTCCCAAGGATTGTAACTGGGATTCAAATTTGTCTGAATGTGGGGTGCCTGCATGGCTCAGTTGGGTGGGCATCAGACTTTGGCTCAGGTCATGATCTCATGGTTCCTGAGTTTTGAGTCCCACAATGGGTTCTGTGCTTTGTGCTGACAGCTCGGACCCTGGAGCCTGCTTCAGATTCTGTGTTCCCTTCCCTCCCCACCTCCCAACGTGCACTCTGTCTCTGTCTCTGTTTCTCTCTTTCTCAAACATTAAAAGGGAAAAAAAAAAAAGACAAAACAGGGGCACCTGGGTGGCTCAGTCGGTTAAGCATCTGACTTTGAGTCAGGTCATGCATGATCTCATGGTCCACGAGTTTGAGCCCCTCATCGGGCTCTGTGCTGACAGCCCAGAGCCTGGAGCCTGCTTCAGACTCTGTGTCTCCCTCTCTCTCTTTCCCTCCCCTGTTCATGCTCTGTCTCTCTCTCTCTCAAAAATAAACATTAAAACAACAACAATGACAACAACAACAAATTTGTCTGAATCCTAAACTCAGGTCATCATGCTACCTCAAGGGAACCGTCATGCGGAAGAAAAATCAAGAACTAATGTCATCACACACAATATTGGGGGGGGGGGAAATGCAAGCCACCTATTTAGAGAATAACCTCCCAAACAACACGCATACCCATCTTTAATATCTGTTGTCATATGTTGTGTTTTAGAAGAAACACAACTTTTAGAAGAAAAGTTTTATTGGTCTCACAATAGGTTTCATTTAATACATCTAGAGAGTGTCATAATGCATCCAGTGGCAAAATTAGACGGATTTTATTGGTCCCTACATGTGACTAGAGCCACAAAATACTTTGGATTCCTCATTCTGTTAAGAAACTTGTCCAGGTCCAAAATCAAAGATAGAATGAGTTGTTGCTGCTCCCTTTTCCAAGGAGTAACAAGGATAGTACAGAAATCAAGTGGAAGAACTCTGGAATCTTGCAGGAGTTCAGTGTTTTGTAGGATCTTCACTTAATCTTTTCCCCCTGCCCTTGAGGCATATTTGACCTATAACCCTCACTGAATCTTATAAGAACAAAACCTTACAGTCAAGAGGAATTTTTGGGATGTCTGGGTGGCTCAGTCGGTTAAGCGTCCAACTTCGACTCAGGTCATGATCTCATGGTTCGTGAGTTCAAGCCCCACATCAGGCTCTGTGCTGACAGTTCAGAGCCTGGAGCCTGCTTCAGATTCTGTGTCTTCCTCTCTCTCTGCCTCTCCCCTGCTCATGCTCAGTCTCTCTCTCTTACAAAAATAAACACTAAAAAATTTTAATTTAAAAAATCATCTAGTTCAGCTATCCTGTTATGCTAAGTATATACCAATCAAAGGATCACTAAGTGCTTGAATGCCCTAAATAATGGGAAATGCTTTCATTTATAAAATGTCTATTTCATCTATGGGTAGTTTTGACTAGTGGGAAGTTCTTTATCTGAGCTGAAATCTTTATTCTAACTTTCATTCACTGACGATGATTCCAAGCTGTCACACCCCCTAAAAAAATGCCTCCCACACAAGGCCTTTCTATACAAATTACCCTTCTTGGTACTTTGCCCAGGGTTTCAAATGTCCTTGTGACCACAGCTGATCTTCTTGGAAATGCCATAATAGGTTGCTCAGAGCCACTACAAGCCAATAGTCAGAATTGAGTGGGCCAACCGCTACTTTTGTACATGGGCATATGTGACCTGTCCTTCTCTGTACTCCCCCAGAGCCTGGAGACAGCTCTCTATGGTGCCAAGCTTCATCTTGCCTTCACTGTTATCTTGTCTTCACTGGTGACAGTTGGAAAGAGGCACTCTCCAATCATTCAGTCATGCTTGAGATCTAAGGCCTTGACAACCCTTAGAAACCTCTCAGAAGAAACATCCCCTGAACCATAAGTCAGCATTAGCATCTATCCAATATGCTGAAACCAGTCCTGACTGCTCCATATTCCCCAAACCTGAGAGAACGGACCATTCCACTACCTGCCTGAAAAGGCCAGCCAGAAAAAATTCTGGCAAAGCTGTCTAAGTCTTAGTGGAAATAGACCAGATGTAAATGAACTATCATCCATCTTCCATCTTTTCTCTAAATCTCTAATTCAGAACCTCCTTGCACTCACGAGCCATTCTGCAACCATTCTGCTTCCTTTCTATCTCTACCCTCTGAGAACATCCTGATTTCTCACTGCCATGCTACAGAGAGTGCCTTGAATGTGAGGAGGAACCAGAAAAACAGTAGACCCAGTTGCTGCCACACGTATTTGGACATTGCCAGTCAGTATGATGTGGGGCCATCTGTTCACGTTCAAGGTGGTTGCAGAAAAGATCTTTGGCAGCAATGACTAGAGAGAAAAAATTCTTGTTGCAAAGTACCCAATACATCTATATAAACTTTGATAATGATAAAAGACTTTAGTTGTAAACAAAGTATCTATGCAACCTTAATACACTATTTTCGGGAGTTTTGTGTTGAAATCTGGTGAAATGCACTTAACATAAGAGTGGATTAGTGTAGGTAGAGAAATTCACTACTGAGTATAGTAAATTAACATCCTATGTAATTGGGAAATTAATGAATGTCTGAAAATTTGAGTTAATCACATTTAATTGGAAAAGGCCATGTATTTTATGGTTTAATTGCAAAATAATCTGTATATTCCCAATAAGTTCATAGTAAAATAATCTTTTAAAAAAGCTTTAAAATGTCAAAAAAGGGGAAAAAACAGCAACTAGAACAAAATATGTAATGAGATTAACAGAATCTCATACTTGGCTTTAGAGAATTCTTACATATTCGGTTGATTAAAATATTCTACATTAATGCTGTACCTTTTTACCAAAGAGTTTCCAAAAGAAAAATAAGAATTAAACATTTATGACTGGAGTTAGTTGTAGTAAGGAATTGGATGTGAGTGTTTGACCGCTCTTTGTGCCTTCAATGTTCTGCAGAAAATTCTGTCTTCTTTTTAGTCCATCCAAAATGACTGAATTATTAGATGCCAGACTCTGTGTCCTAAAGATATTAAAAATAACAGAATTATTACCTTCCAAAGGGGCCTGGGCTTCTAATCAAGGCATCATACCTTCATCTGTTACTTTGAAGCAATATAACATTTTCTAACACTAAAGCGCGCTTAGAAGTTAACCTTTAAAAATCTAAAGTGCTCCTTATATCTTATTTTTTAATGTTTATTTATTTTTGAGAGAGAGAGACAGAGAAAGAGCATGAGCAGGGTAGGGCAGAGAGAGAGGGAGACACAGAATCTGAAGCACGTTCCAGGCTCTGAGCTGTCAGCACAGAGCCCAACACCGGACTTGAACCCACCAACTGTGGGATCGTGACCTGAGCCAAAGTCAGATGCTTAACTGACTGAGCCACCCAGGTGCCCCTAAAGTGCTCCTTATATTTTAAAGGCTTCACAATAGCACAATTATTTGGCAGCTGCTTTCCAAGAAGTTCATATTTTTTGAACATCTTCTCAGATCCAATATCAAGTATATTCTAGTCAGAAACAGTAAGTTCCTTGGTGGCTGGCTGGCTCAGTCAGAAGAGCGTGTCACTCTTGATCTTGGGCTTGTGAGTTCAAGCCCCACGCTGGGTGTAGAGATTACTTAAATAAATACACAAATTTAACAAAAAAGAAAGAAAAAGAAATAACAAGTTCCCTAAAAAACTCTTCTCTACAAGTGAAGTAACCCATACCTTCTTGAGTAATTTCTTTTTTGAGACGTCATATGAAAGAGAAAAGCTGACCATAACATTTTTCATATTGACAAGATTCCTTTCTAAGGAGCTGTAGGCTAGGTTAGTCCCTTATCTAACACATCTGCCTTGCTTCAGCCAAGTCACATTACTATTTGGGCATTTTGCTTTTGACATTCCCCTTTTCTCACCTTGCATCCTCTCCATCACTTGCTCATTACAGTAAGATATGCCTTGGGGCTCCTAGGTGGCTCAGTTGGTTAAGTGTAGGACTCTTGGTTTTGGCTCAGGTCATGATCTCATGGTTCCTGAGACGGAGCTCCACATCAGGCTCTGTGCTGACAGTGCAGAGTCTACTTGGGATTCTTTTTCTCCTCTCTCCCTCTGTCTCTGCCCCTGTCCTGCTCTCGCTCTCTGTCTCTCAAAATAAATAAATAAACTTTAAAAAATAATAATAAAACTAATATCACCATACTTTAAAAAAAAAAGAGAGATGCCTCAAAAATGTATCCTCCAATAAGTGTCCTCCCAAACATTTCATTACTCTTAATTCCACATCTCTTCAGCAATTACAGAGAGTTTCCACTTCATTTTTTTTTTTTTAAAGTAAACTCTACCCCCAATGTGGGTTTCACCTGAGCCAGCCAGGCACCCTCCACTTTGTTCTTGAGTTCAATTCGGCTACTTATGTTTTGTTGGTCTACTCAACTGAAGTGCAAATTTCCTATGGGTAGCAACATCTTGTGGGTCTTCTCTGTCCCTCTAATTCGTAACAATTATGGCACAGAGTTGATGTTCAAATGCTATCTTCTCTTCCTTATACTTATAAGTCTTTTAAGAGAACCATATTATACGCAATTTTTTAAGAAATCAAATTTCTCGGGGTGCCTGGGTGGCTCAGTCGGTTAAGCGTCTGACTTCAGCTCAGGTCATGATCCCACAGTTGGTGGGTTCAAGTCCGGTGTTGGGCTCTGTACTGACAGCTCAGAGCCTGGAGCCTGCCTTGGATTCTGTGTCTCCCTCTCTCTCTCTCTGCTCCTCCCCCACTCATGCTCTGTCTCTCTCGCTCTCTCAAAAATAAACATTAAAAAAATTTTTTTAAAAAAAGAAATCAAATTTCTCAAGATTTCACAAATTTAAATTCTCACGCATATCCTTGACAAATTTAAATTCTTGCATGTCCTTGACATGCAAGTCAAGGAGCAATTGCCCTTACCTGTTTTGGGTTTGATTTTGTTTTTGTTTCTGCTTTTTTTTTTTTTTTTTAGCAGCAGGCAAAGGTTTATTAGAATATAAGATTAGAAAGGAAGAATAGTAGAAAAGCTCTCTTTACAGAGAGGGGACATTTGAAAGTAAATGCCCAAGGACTATAGGCAAGGGTCCTTGTTTTATGAGGTTCTAGTCAGACCTCTGTTTCTGCTTTTGCCAAAGTGAAAGGGGACCCATAGCTTGTTGGTTTACACTACCATTGTTTACTTTGGAGACAATATGTGTTGATACTTTCAAGACTTGATATGAAGAGCACCTGGATGGCTCAGTCGGTTAAGCCTCTAACTCTTGGTTTTGACTTGGGTTGTGATCTCACAGTTCGTGGGTTCGAGCCCTCCGTTGGGGTTGCACTGGCAGTGCGGAACCTGCTTGGGATTCTCTGTCTCTTCCTCTCTTTCTGCCCCTCCCCTGCTTGTGCTCTCTCTCTCAGAAAACAAAAACAAAACAAAACCAGAAAAAAAAAGACTTGATATGAATTAAACAATTCTTTCAAGCAGAAAAGATCTGTTTCCCAATAAGAAGTAAAGATACATTTTTAAACTGCAGACCTCCAGGAATTTAGCCTAAGGTAGAGTCAGAAATGTCTGTAAACATTTTTATGTGAAAACAATCCACTGAAGATTGATTTATTATGGCAAAAAAATGGGAATCTAAATGTCAAAGGAGGGAAAATAATAGTTATATAAATACTAGAGTCCACATAACAGAATACTAAGCAGCCATTAAAACGAATGAGTTGGATCCGTATGTATTGATTGCAGGATATGCATGATACGTTAAGTGAAAAAAGAAAGCCACAGCTTTGTATGATCTGTTGTTAAAAAATAATTATATTTTTTCTTTTTAGAAAAATAATTATATTTCTAAATGCACAGAAAAAAGTCCGAAAGAATATAAACCACACTGTCAACAATGTTTAGGTCACCTCAACGGAAAGGCAATGGAAAAGGTTGGGGAATGCAGACTGTCAGTTTCACCTTTTACATTTCTGTATTACTTTTTCAAAAGGAAGTATATAATAATTTTGTATAATAAAAAACTGGTAAAGATATATGCCAAATTTTAAGACGACCTTTTTGAAAACTATTAAATAACCTCAGGGGAATGTTCACACTGTACCCTGAAAAAAAGCACTATGCAAAACAGTAATGACAGTATAGGGAAAACATTTAGACAAAATACATAGATCAATATGTTCAGACTGAAGTGTTATAAATATACCAAATATAAAAGGATTTTTTAAACACATCTAAACGGTAGGGTGATTATAGGTGTTTTTTAAAACGCTTTTCAGTACTTCTCAAATGTTCTATTATGTGCATATTACTTTCATAACACGTACAATGTTTAATTTAAACAAATAAACATGGAGGGGCACCCTGGTGGCCCAGTCGGTTAAGCCTCCGACTTTGGCTTACGTCATGATCTCACGGTTTGTGAGTTTGAGCCCCGCGTTGGGCTCTGTGCTGACAGCTTGGAGCCTGGAGCCTGCTTCGGATTTTGTGTCTCCTCCTCTCTCTGCCCCTCTCCCACTTATGTTCTGTCTTTCTCTGTCTCTCAAAAAGAAATAAATGTAAAAAAAAAAATTTAAACAAACATGGAAAAGATTGGTGGAAAATAGCTGCATCTCTTTCTGAACTGCGTAGAACCAGAAATGTAAGTGAAAACTTCTAGCCCTCAGTTCAGGAAGTGCTTCATTTATAGCAGTTCCTTCCTATATTTAGAAATAATTCAAGATTTAGTAGTAGTGGAACAAATTTTGGTTCACATTCAAAATGAACTCTATCCTATTATGTAAGAGATTTCATTTTAACTTTATACAATTCATTCAGTAAAGGCTGGCAGAATTCTATCACTATAAAAAGTGTATTCAGGGGAGTCTCCTACTGGGTCATTCAGTACTCCCTTGAGTGTAATAATTCCTGAGGAATAGTGGCTAATCAAACACTTTTACATACACTTACCGTGGAGAATCTATTCCACTGTCTCCCGCCATGCTGTGATTTTCTGTTCCTTCCAGATGACTGTGTTCATGTTGGACATCCTGAGCCAACACTGGCATATGTGAAGGGCTGAAAAGTTCTAACTTTTGCATGAACTGTTTTCTCACTTCCTGATTCTGAGCACCCTGACTCCAGCTAGCTGGTTTCTTTCCTATGTCACCAACCAAGTCTTGTAGGGTTTCAGCCTCAGAAGTGGCTTTCCTTGTGCTATAGTAATCAAATACACTTCCATCAGTATCTGCTGAGGCTTGCACACATGTAGCAACACTGGGTCCGTCTTCATAGTTAAAACCGGACCGAGTCCCCGAACTGAGGCCACAGCTCTCAGCAGAGAGTTTAGGTGTTTGGCTTTCACCTGGGTTAGTGAACAACCCAGTGGGTTTGTAACACTCATTTCCTTTAAGCACCTGAGGCTCAGACCTGTGTATTCTGCGGTTGTACTCAGTCAGAAATCTTTCAGTCCCCTTTTGTTTTCCTAAATGATTCCACTTGCTTCCCCCTGTAAAGGAATACTGAATGCGGCCAGGCAGCATTTGACATAAGTCATCATTCTCAGAAAAGTCCTCCTCATCTAGATATAATGAACTACAGGCTCCATCATCATCTTCCACAGCCTTCTGATACAAGGCCTGGTTATCCTCAGAAAGCCCTTCGTTTTCTGGACTCACAGTCTTTGTTTCCTGGACAAATGCCTTTCTTACTCGTGTTTCTTCTGAGTCTCCCTCTTGTCTCTCAGGTTGTCTCAAACAGTTCATACTAACTGGGTAATCCAAAATACCAAGATTTTGGAACTGGTGTATTGTTTTATCAACTAGTCTACACGCAGAGGAAGCATGGCCTAGAGAGGAGGAACCTTGTGATGGCAGCACATACTGTGTTTCTTTTGCGTCCCCTAATGTGTCAAAGTGAGAATAACTTTTCCTCAAGACTTCAGGGATTACCTCATTTTTTCCACCATACACATCGTGTCTCCTCAGGCTTTCCCTAAAGGAAAAACATTTACTACCATTTTGCAAAACACTACCTTGAGAGTGATTTAAGAGGGGATCTCTAAAGTCATCACTGATAGGCTTGACGGTAGAGTTATTCATAGAAATGGATTCTGCTGTCAGTTTATCTTCATACTGTTCAGCACATGGCTGTTTGCCTTTACTCTCAAAGATTCTTGAGGAATCCAAAGACCTTGACCTTTGGAAAGGCTTTCCCTTTGGTCCAATCTGACCCGGTTTCAGATCACTGGTCTGGATGTCGTGCCCTTTGGTTGTTGGGTTCCCTCGGTAAGACAAACCCTGGAAAGGATTACTAATTCGCTTCTTGTAAAGCAAATGGGAACCTAGCATTGATGGATTCTCATCAAGTGGTTTCTGAACTAGTGCTTCATTTGGGCTTTGAATTCTGGAGGTGGGCTGTGCAGCAGGGGACTTGGGATGTTTCTCCAGTCTAAGGCTTCCTGGAGGAGGCTCACTTCCCTGACTCCTGGCTTTGTGTCTATCCCTATGAGAATGGCCCCGCCTTCGAGGCCTTGCAGACCGGCCCCGTCTTTTCTTAACTCCCTCTTTTGAAGGATATTTATGCCTGACTGTCAGCAGATCAGTGGAAGTGCCCTGGCTATTGTATTTTTTCTGTTCTTCGTATTTTTGCATTAGGACGGTATGTTTGATTAAATTGTCAACAGTCAGAATGGGATTAATTCGTTTGATAATCTCATGTTCAATGTCTCGAGGGATATTGTCCAAGTTATCTTCATCTCGAACAGGCCATTCTTCTGGTGGAAACTGGGCAGAGAAACTACTGTGCTCTATTCTGGACTTCTCCTTTCTGGATATACTACGCCAAAAGAGGCTAAAGCCAAACTTCCTGCCTTTTTCTCTGTCTTTTGTGTATGGTAAAGGTTTGGTGCTTTCACAGACGTGATTCCCCTCAGACAGGGAAACTGCTTGATTCTGTCCCAAAGATTTGGATTCCCGCAGACCTTTCTGGCTTTTTCTAGTCACTTCTGCAGCAGCCGGTGTTTCCTGTACATCCTGAGTGCACAGATCAGGGAAACACCGGCAAGACTGACAGTGAGAAATGGGGGCAGCCTTTTCTTGGGCCAACTCTGCACAGCTCTCCACGCTCACCAGATAAGTAACGCAAGTTGGCATCTGGCAGCTTTCATCCGATAGGTCTCTCTTATTTTCATGGGGCGTTATATTCGTAATGAAGTAAGTCTGAGGAGTGACTATGAAGTATCCTTCTCCAGTGTGATAAATTTTCCTTTCTTTAATCAGAGTTCCCAGAGTGGTATAGAGAATATCTTGAGGTGGAACTGCGATGCCTGAAACAAACAAGCATTTTGTTACACTGACAGATTTTGAATGAAAAACATTTCAGTGCCTGAAGTCAGTAAGTCAGAAATGACCACACATTTGCCTGATGAACCCAGAGCTGACTGTAACACAATTAATATATGTGATTAAAATGCCAAAGAGGCATTAATAATAATCATAACTTAATTGAAAAATGGGAATATATTTTGGCCCACACAAAGACATAGGGCTAAGTTAATGTTTGAGTAGAGAAAAAAAATGAGTCCACTCAAATACAAACACTAAGCTATATAACCCCATCATAAATTTATTTTATTTTTTTAAATGTTTATTTTTGAGAGAGCGTAAGTGGGGGAGGGGCAGAGCAAGACAGAGGATCCGAAGCCAGCTCTGCACTGACAGCAGAGAGCCCGATGTGGGCCTCGAACTCATGAACCGTGAGATGGTGACCTGAGCCAGAGTCTGGCCCTCAAATGACTGAGCCACCCAGGTGCCCCACCCATCACAAATTTAAATGTTCACTTCAAGAAAGCATTCTTGAAGAGTTTTTGAAAATAATCACAGTCTCCTAGCTTAAATCTTAATAATCTAAAGACAAAATGAAAACCAGCTTGTGTCAGGGGGAGGGCAAACTATCTAACATCAATATTATGATAGTTTTTCAAACTAGGAAGGTAACAAATCTTTTTAAAAGAAATCCCTGGGGGTGGGGAGGGGCACCTGGGTGGCTCAGTCAGTTACTCATCTGACGTCGGCTCAGGTCATGATCTCACAGTTCAGAGCCTGGAATGTGCTTTGGATTCTGTGTCTCCCTCTCTCTCTGCCCCTCCTCTGTTCATGCTCTGTCTCTCTCTGTCTCAAAAATAAATAAACGTTAAAAAAAATTTTTTTAATAAATAAATAAACATTAAACATTAAATTAAACATTAAATTAAATTAAATTAAATTAAATTAAATTAAATTAAATTAAAAGAAATTCCTGGGGTGCCTGGGTGGCCCAGTCAGTTGTGTCCATCTCTTGGTTTCAGCTCAGGTCATTATCTCACAGTTTGTGGGTTCGAGTCCCGCATCAGGCTCCAGAGCTGGCAGTGCCAGGCCTGCTTGGGATTCTCTCTCTCCCTCTCTTTCTGCTCCTTTCCTGTTCATATTGTCTCTGCCTCTCTCAAAATAAATAAACTTTAAAATTTTCCCTTTTCCAAATAGCAGCGTTCAAAACTGTATTTATGTTGTGAAAACATTTTTGAATAACACTGGAAGAAAATACATCATATATTAACATTGATTTCCTTGAGTGGTGGTACCATAAGTGGTTACTTCTCTAGATGTTCTCGATTTTCTACAATGAGCATATTTTACAATGGGAAATTTTTTTAAATACTCTTCTGCAGGGGTGCCTGACTGCATGTTGGGTGCAGATTACTTAAAAATAAAATCCTTAAAATTATTTTAAAGATAATAATAATATTACTAATTAATCAAAAAATACTCTCCTACATTCATGCACTGGGATATCATGGCAGCTGTGTAAGAATGAGATAGATCGATACATAATAATACAGAAAGATTTCTAAAATATGTTTTTAACCTAGGCAAGGGGCAGAGAGAATGTAAAGATCTAATTTGGGGTTGCTAGGTGGCTCAGTCAGTTAGGCGCCCGACTTCGGCTCAGGTCATGATCTCACGGCTTGTGAGTTGGAGCCCTGCGTCAGGCTCTGTGCTGACAGCTCGGGGCCTGGAGCCTGCTTCAGACTTCTGTGTCTCCCTCTCTCTCTGCCCCTCCCTGGCTCATGCTCTGTCTCTCTGTCCTTCAAAAATAAATAAACATTTTAAAAAATGATCCATGTTATAAAAATAGAACACATATGCTCAAATACAATTTATGAAAGTATACACAGGAAAAGAGAATAGAAGCTGTTGCCTTTGGGAGGTGGCAATGGAAGGATGTGACTGGCAGGGGGGGGAGGGGAGAAGAAGAACTTTCCCTTGTTTTGCTCTGCACTCCTTTCTACAATCTGATTTGTTGTCATAAGCATAATTTTTGAGGGGCGCCCGGGTGGCTCAGTCAGTTAAGTGTCCGACTTCGGCTCAGGTCATGATCTCATGGTCGGTGAGTTCGAGCCCCACATCGGGCTCTGTGCTGACGGCTCAGAGCCTGGAGCCTGCTTCAGATTCTGTGTCTCCCTCTCTCTCTGACTCTCCCCCGTTCATGCTCTGTCTCTCTCTGTCTCAAAAATAAATAAACATTAAAAAAAATTTTTTTCAAAAACCCATAAGCATAATTTTTGAAAAAGTTCCTTTGGAAAGTAAAAGAAATACCCTTATTAAATTTGTTGATGCAGGCCTTTTCCTAGCAGGGCTCTAATACAAGGGTCTACAATAGAAAAAAAAAAAAAAGTAGATATCGCCCAGTTTATTTACATGTTTAAGATGATTTCTAAATAGGGGCACCTGGGAGGCTCAGTTGGTTGAGTGTCTGACTTCAGCTCAGGTCTTGATCTAATGGTTCATGGGTTTGAGTCCCATGTCGGGTTTTGCACTGACAGCACAGAGCCTGCTTGGGATTCTCTGTCTCCCTCTCTCTGCCCCTCCCCAGCTCGCGCTCTCTCTCAAATAAATAAGCAAATAAATACACATTAAAAAAAAATTGTTAAGTTGCTGAAAAACCTCTTTTAAAAAAATGACTTATAAATAGAAAGCAAACACATACAATGAACTAATAGAGAAAACTTGCTGTCCTACCTGGGTAATGTTTCATCAAATGCTCCAATAGTGATTCCTGTGTCACCACAATCTGAGCAACATTCATATCAGATATAGCACAGCAAAGAACTTCAGCCAAAGGTATAAACTGAGATTGAGCTATTGGATTCATTTGCACTGGAAAGACATCACCTAAATTGGAGGTTTAAAAAAAAAAAAAAAAAAGGAAAGGTGATAAATTTGTAGTAAAAAATGTTTAGGGGGGGCGTCTGCAGGTCGCTCAGTCAGCTGAGCATCTGACTTCGGCTCAGGTCATGATCTCACAGATCGTGGGCTCAAGCCCCATATTGGCCTCTTGTGCTGACAGCTCAGAGCCTGGAGCCTACTTCAGATTCTGTGTCTCCCTCTCTCTCTGCCCCTCCCCCACTCATACTCTATCTCTCTCAGAAATAAATAAAACATTAAAAAAATTTTTTTTTAATATTTGAAATTAGTGAGTCAAGAATAAAAACTGAATAGTACATGGAATTGCTATTTTTCATCACTTTTTCCTCAGAATCTGTTAACATGATATGTACAATGATAGAGAGCATAGAAGAAAAGTTTTACATTAGGGTCCCTACTTTTTAAGAAGTTTGTAGACTTTGTCACTGCTTTACATGTAAGAGATAGTAAGTCCCCAGATTAAAGGCACAAAGTGCTATCAGAGTACAGGTTGGACAATGCTTATATGGTAATTCTCATCTTTCAAAGCATTTTTTTTTTCACATTAGCTATCTGAGGCAGGCGGGGATGGGATTCTTCTTTATAATACAGAAAACCTTCGGGGTGCCTGGGTGGCTCAGTCGGTTGAGCATCTGACTTTGGCTCAGGTCATGATCTCATGGTTCATGGGTTCATGCCCCGCATAGGGCTCTGTGCTGACAGCTTGAAGCCTGGAGCCTGCTTTGGATTCTGTGTCTCCCTCTTTCTCTGCCCCTCCCCAACTCATGCTCTGTTTCTGTCTCAGTCTCTCTCTCAAAATTAAGTTTAAAGAGTTTAAAAATTAAATTTAAAAATTAAAAATTAAAAAAAATTAAAAAATTAAAAAATTTTTAAATTTAAAAAATTTTTCAAATAAATAAAATTTAAAACATATATAGAAAACCTTCTGAAAGCTCAAGAAATTGTCCCAAGGTCAGACAGCAAGTAGAGTGACAGAAATAGGTCTTCTGACTCCTAGTCCAGTATTTTCATCATTCCACATTTTCCTGATTGGAATGATTAGGAAGGAAGGAAAGTGCAGAAATGTTTTTCACAAGCATAAAGCCACGGAACAAAACCATGGAAGGAGGAAAGCACAAGGTATATAAAAGCATGAACAGAATTATCCTGGTTGGATAGAGCTGAAGGGTTATATCAGACCCAAGTGGAAGACCGACTGGAAATGGAAGCTAGACCATATTGTCCTTCCTCCTTGCTAACGTATTAAATCAATGTCCTTAACTTGCTATTACTCACATTAGAGTTTTAGATTCTGCTGAACATCCAAGGGAATCCCTCAGTTACTTGGACATGAAAGACTAGGACTCAGGAAAGAGATTTGGGAATCAACTAATACAGATGAGATCTGAAACTATGGAGTGGAGTAAATTCTTCAGTGGGAGAGTAAGGAAGAGAGCCAAGGAACACTTAACTACAGGACTATCTACAGTTAAGAGACAATAGGGGCACCTGGGTGGCTCAGTCAGTTGAGTGTCCCACTCTTGATTTCAGCTCAGGTCATGATCCCAGGGTCAAGGGATGGAGCTCCACATGAGGCTCCACACTGAGCATGGAGCCTGCTTAAGATTCTCTCTCTCCCTCAGGCCCTCTACCCTGCTCATATGTGTGCTCTCTCTCACTCTCTCTTTCTAAATAAATAAATAAAAGCCACTAATCCCATAAAAAAGAGAGAGATAATAGAAATAGGGACCCACAAAAGAGAGAAGGCCCCATAATGGGGGTAGAAGGGAGAGAACCAAAAGTAGGAGAATAAAATGCTCCAAAGTGAATAGTAAAGCAACAGTGTCAAAATGTTTGAATGAGATCAAAAGGTTGAGGGAGGAGACAAAACGGCCATTGAATTTCGTGATGAGAAGGGGACCACTGGTGACTTTCATTAAGAGTTGTTTCCATAGAAAAGTTAATGGATCCTCCTTCTAAAGCAGGGTTTCTTAACTTCAGCATTTTTGACATTTGTGGCATGATAATAGGGTGACCCAACCATCCCAGGATGACCAAAACTCAGGGGTTTCCTGGGACATAGGATTTTCAATGTGATAACTGAGAAGTCAAAGGCAAACCAAGATGGTTGGTCACCATAGCCACGTAATTCTTTGTTGTGTGGGGCTGTCTTGTGCACTGTAGCATGTTTAGTCGCATCCTTGGTCTCCACCCACTTCTAGATGCCAGTAGCATCTCCCACGGTTGCAGCAACCATACTTCCAGACATTGCCAAATGTCTCCAGAGGCAGGGGAAGGCAAGACTGTCCCAACTACAAGCCATTGTTCTATACCATTTGTTGGAAAAATCGATTGTGAAAGAGGAAAAATCGAATGCAAACCAGCAAGGAGTAGGATCAAGTGAATATGAATGTGTGTGTATCTTGTGATTTTCTTAAAAGAAGATCTCTGCACATTTGGATGCAAAAAGGAAAGGCTTAGCGGAAACAATGTACATGATTCTGGGAGACAGAAGACCAGGGAGACAGCAAGATCCCAGAAGAGAGGCATAGGAAAATGCACAAAAGGCACAGGTAGAAGAACTGCCTTAGAAACAGGGAAGATATTATCATCTGAGATCTGAAAATAGAGAGTGGTAGAACACCAGAAATATACTGAAGCATAGAAGGAAAAAAAAACAAACAAAACAAAACATTAGCACAGCAAGGTCATCTGATCTCTGTAAAGTTAAGGTAGGGAAAGAAAGGATAGGAATAGGAGGGGAAAAAAAAAACAGGAATGAAGAGAGGAAGAGTGGAAAGGGGGTTGGAAGAGCTATTCTTGGAGTATACTAAATAAAAAAAAAAAATGAATACAAAGATTATGAAGGAGCCCTGGGTCTCAAGATGATGGAAGTATGGTTTCTGGCAGGTGAAGTGGCGATCTGCAATAGAAAAGGGTGAGAGCCAGGGAGGCCAGCAGGGCTTCTCGAATTTTAATGTGCACATGAGAATCCCCAGGAGATTGTGCTAATGTGCAGATTCTGATTCAGAAGGTCTGAAGCTGAGCCTCTGATTCTGCATTTCTAACAACTTCCCAGGTGAGGTCCACTTGGGAATGGTAGAGGGTTAGGGTGGTAATGACAGCAATGTTAAAGTAGGTAACCATTCAACAAATAAACATGGCCCTGAGGCACAGGGAGTCAAGTGTAGCCAAAAGGAAGGCAAAGAATTGAGAAAACCTGGTTATGCCCTGCAGTTGATTCCCCTAGTGATAGTGGAGAAGCCAGTACATTGTACTGGTTATTGAGGGGGAAGGAAGGTGGTGAGGGCTGGCAAGGTATGAAAGGTTGTAGCCAGCTGGTGAGAGGCCCACAGTACTTACTGTATCTGCGTGAAGAAAAAGGGCTGACATAAGGAAACCGGTAAACAGTTTGCTGTTATACATAACATTGGTCTGTTTCCCTGTGTACTTTAGCTTCTCTATCTGGCGGACTGGGGCATCTCCGAACTTGGAAGGTCACAACAGGGCAGAACTGCCATCTGCCACCGAGGCAACTGAGGTTAGGATCTCCTCTTGTGTACTTGTGGCTATTCCACTGGGTGATGCCAGGATACTTACAGCATTCTGAGAAGCTAGGATGAATGGCTAATCGATTAACGTTTCTAAGGGCAGTGATAAGAGATGATGCTCTGAAGCTTACTGTCCAGAGGGACGATAGCTGACCTAAACCTCAAATTCCTCCTAGAGACTCTACCTCTAAGCTGAGTGTAATAAGTCTCTGCTTTCTTCATTCCCTCTTTGCCTTTCTTTTTTCCCTCAGAATTTGGGATTTACCTTCTTTTCTTTCATCTCCCTCCTCAACCAGAAAAAATATAGGTACAATCTCAAATAGTTCCATGCTTCTTTAACATAACTCTATGTGCTTAATTTGAAATAAGTGACTTTTCGGTATCTTTCTTCCTCATCTCCCAAAACACTCTTCAGTGACTTTTTTCTTGTATGTGATTTTATATTCATTACCTGCCCCCCGCACCCTCCCCCCGCACTTTCATGTGGACTAGAAGTCCTTTATTCAAAAAGAGGGAGGAGAAAGGTCTCTCCTAGAAAGTTTAGGGCTAGAGTATTGGCGAAGTACAAGGCAAAACTTCAAAAGTTTTGCTCAACCACACAATCCACTTTCAAGCCTCACCTCATCCCTACCCTAAACCCAGTCACTTTGAACTTTGAGATGGGAGGAGGAGGAGGAAGCATTAAAAGGAAGGAGATGAGTGGCTAGAGCGTCAGCATCCCTATCGCGTCCTCTGCCGGTAGCTGTCCATTTTTTGGCAAATGAAACAAGGAAGCTGTAGGAAGGGTGGGGGTCCAATACTCTGATCTCCACTATGCCTTCGGGATACACTGAAGCAGCCTGTTTTTTTAGCTCAACCCTTAAATTTATTTCCTCTTTTCACAGGAAAACTAGTCAAAATGGATTTTTCATGGGGCTGGTGGGAGGGATGCACGGGATATTCCTGTACATTTCTTTGCAATCTCCCGTATATCTAAAATTATTTCAAAATAAAAGTTAAATATAGATTTTTCAGAAGGCACTACTTTTAGGGGCACCTGGTTGGTTCAGTCCATGGAGTGTGCAACTCTTGATCTCAGGGTTGTGAGTTCCAGCCCCACACTTGGTGTAGAGATTACATAAAAATAAAATCAAGCAGATAATCAACGATCACTTTTAGTTAACAAGCAGATATAAATGAGAAACAGAACTTTTTTCTTACATTTAAAAAATCCCAAGCAACTTCTTTTAAATAATCCTGACACTGCTCGCCAAATCCAAAGACACTCTCAGAAATTGTACTCATAATTCCTACCACGGTGTGGGAATGAGTATTTTAAGAGTCAACAAATCTATCAACCAGGAAGTCAAATGGCCTTTTTTTTCTCCTTAAAATTAATACAACAATATGTCAATTGCATTTTGGAGGAACATGTTAAATTGCATTTAAC